TCCAGCGGATGCTTGTGCAGCTTCGTCCAAAGTGACCTTGCTGTTAGAAATGTTCACTCTGCTTTACTGTTTGATATCTGTAGAAATTTTTGTGATTCTCGAGTTATTAATTTTGGCACCAGCTTTCACGGCTCCGTGAGTCTGAGGCGTGCGTGGAGACTGAATTTCCATGCAGGCAGGGAGCGTCCTGCTAAAATTTCAGCTTCGTAGATTCTGTAGTTCTCGAGTTATTAATTTTGATACCAAAATTTTTAGGTATCCCTACGTAAAACCCAGGCATACGCGCAGCAGGTATGTATGTATCAAAACGATGAAATGGTTTTCCTTAGTATATATGGATGACCAAAGATTGCACTTTTGCGTCATCATAGTGGGAGTTTGCTGTCCAAAGGTTAATCCGAGGTTTTCAACTTGTGAACTAAACTAAAGAGACAAAGTGATAAGTCACCCGAAAGAATCCAACTGTGAACACACCGAAAGAGAGCAATTAATTGTTTATATGACAAAATAGTGTTTTCAAATTCATGGCTGTACGGTTTTTGAGAATTCGTATGGAATGGGCATTTTGTGTCTTTCATTTATGATCAAGTATACTATTTTAGGGATCGAAACCGGCGGGAGAGAAGGCTGCTGCGGATAAGAAAAAGAAAAACGCTCCATCGAAAATAACGTTGCAGCGGGCAGCACGTGGCAAAAATAAATCAGTTATTGTGATCAAAGGGCTAGCTTCTTTTGGTATGTCTTACCACTTTCACAGCTGCCACCTGAACCGAATAATTATTACAAATTGCGACAAACAACACCTAAACCGATGGGATGTGGTGTGATTTTGCAGGGCACTGTGGATGTCGCAAAAAAAGACAAATAATATTAAGTTGCAGCCGTTGGAAGACCGCGAATCTTAATTTTGAAACAATTGAACGGTCCAATGAAAGCAAAAAATGTGGCGGTCGGAGTCAGAAAGTTTAAACGAAGGGTGGGATAAGTTTGCTTAAATAATTTGCAGCTGTTGGTAGGCCGAACCATAGTCCTAAGAACAATTGGGGGATCCGAAGCAAACAGAATGTGGGACGACCACAGTCCGAAAATTTTAACCCAAGGTGGGGTTAGTTTAATAAGTCTATTCCATATTTTCTGTTTGTGAGGGGTGGAAGCCTTCTGGAATAGCTCGGGCGCAGTGAACACTAACAACAACCATTCGCTGGTGAGGCTGTTGATGGCTGCCTCTTTCGACGGTTGTTTATGCGGAAGTTTAATGGCAACGAAAGTAAGTATTTGCTCGAAGTTGTTACGAAATTTTATGAATTCAGCAAATGTTATGTTACAGATGTGGATTTGAAAGCGGCTGCAAAACTGTTCGCTGGACGTTTTGCGTGTGGCTCTTCGGTGACAGCGGCCGATGAAATTGTTGTGCAAGGCGATGTTAAAGACGAATTAATAACAATGATCACAACGAAATGGCCACATATTGATTCAAAGATGATTGAAGATCTTGGTGATCAGAAGCGTTAAACGGAAAAAATCAGAGGAGTTTCGAATTTTT